GACAACTCTATGTTATGCTACACTCAACATCAAACATTTTGATCTTAGAATACTCTTTTTATTTAAAGGTTTTATCTATTTATTTTAGAGAGAGAGAGAGAGTGAGCATGTGCTCAGGCAGGGTGAGGGACAGAGGAAGAGCGTCTCAAGCAGACTGCATGCCCAGTGCCCCATGCCCTGTGCCCCCGAGCCTGACACGGGCCTACGATCATGACCTGAGCCAAGATCAAGATCTTGACAGACTGAGCCACTCAGGCACCCTGATCTTAGAATACTCTTAAAAAATCATTGCCCCTCTACCCCCAAGAACTTTTTTTTGTGTGTGAGATATCTACCTTACCATATTTGAAATTATAACTGAGATATTTTATAAAAATGTTTATACATTTAAGATAATGATAAACTTCTGCTAACATAAATGGTGGAAAACAGCTATATATTTCAAAACAAATAGAAAATTGATATTGTTTTACATTTTTGCACATTGCTTTAGCATCTGGCTTTAGAAGATATGGGAGCTAGATTTTCATAATAGCTTCTGTATTCGGTATATTGATTTTTTTTGGGGGGGTGATCTATATAAAGGAAATCTGGCCTCAGGTATGTAGTTGGAAAAAGAGGGAGTATTTTAGTATTTCAGGCTTCTTTTTTTGATCCTTGTGATATTGTAATATAATATAATAAGCAACATATATTTGGTCTTGGGGCACCTGAGTGGCATAGTCAGTTGAGCATCTGACTCTTGGTTTCAGCTCAGGTCATGATCTCAGGGTCCTGGGATCAAGCCCCACATCCAGCTCTGCACTCAGTGCAGAGTCGGCTTGAGATTCTCTCTCCCTTTCCCTCTACCCCTCCCACTCATGCTCATGCGCACACACACACATGCTCTCTCTCTCAAATAAATAAATCTTAAAAAAAAAGAAAGGGTTGGAACTTTCAACCCTAAACTCCCCCCTGCCCTGCCACTGTCCCCCAGAGAGTCAGGAGATTAATCTAGTCACCAATGGCCAGTGATTTAATCAATCGTGCCTATGTAATGGGACCTTCAGAAAACCCCTAAACAGCAGGAATCAGAGAGCTTCCACGTTGGTGAACACATCTACATGCCAGGAGGGTCACACACCCCAAATTCCACACAGGGACAGAAATTCCTATGCTCAGTACCCTTCCAGACCTTGCCCTATGTACCTCTTCATCTGGTGGTTCATTTGTATCCTTTATAATATCTTTTATAATAAACCAGTAAAGTGATTCTCTGAGTTCTTTGAGCCTGAGGAGGGGGTCATAGGAACCCCCAATTTGTAGGCAAGTAAGGCAGAAGTGTGGGCATCTTAAGGACCCACTACTTGAGGTGGGTATCTGAAGTAAGCAAGGGAGGTCTTGTGGGACTGAGCCTCTAACCTATGGGGTGTACACTAACTCTAGTGTCAGAATTGATTGTAGGACACACTTGGTGTCTACAGAGAGTTCCTTCATGTGGAAAACCCACACGGTGTCAGAAATGGTTGTGAATAGACAAAGCTTTTCTCTAATACTGTATCAAACTCAACAAATGGTAGTTTTTTTTTTTAAGATTTTATTTATTTATTTGAGAGAGAGAGAGAGCACATGAGAAGGGGGAGGGTCAGAGGGAGAAGCAGACTCCCTGCCGAGCGGGGAGCCCAATGCGGGACTCGATCCCGGGACTCCAGGATCATGACCTGAGCCAAAAGCAGTCGCTTAACTGACTGAGCCACCCAGGTGCCCCATATGGTAGTTTCTTAAAGGTTAGTTGGAATGTTAAATTGGTCTGTCTTGGGGCACCTGGGAGGCCCAGTTGTTAAGCATCTGCCTTCTGCTCGGGTCATGATCCCAGGGATCTCGCCCCGTGTTGGGCTCTCTGATCATCAGGGAGTCTGCTTCTCCCTCTCTTTCTGCCCCTCCTCCCGCTCATGCTTGCTCTCTCTCGCTCTCTTAAATAAAAAAAAAAAAGAATTGGTCTGTCTTGCATTTTGAATGGATCTTTTGCCTATGCATTATTCATAATGTCATGCATTGGTCATTTGGAAAATGCTGGCTCATTGCATTATGCAGATCTTCCAAATATTGGTATGTTTCATTATATAACAAAAATTCATGCTTATTAATCTCACTAATCAAAAGTTTGTAAGCATTGAGAAGCTGTAAAGCTCATTGTTGGCGAATAGAAGTTTTCAAAAGTTCCGATTTTCACTAAAAAACCCTTGTATTACTGGCAGTAACTGTCATTTTCCTTGAAAACAGGTTCACCTTATTTTTGAGAAAATATTTACTAAATTCTGAAGTTTGAATAACCAGTTTGTCATTTGGCCTTGCAGGTAAAAATGGTGTTGTGTAAAAAAGCAGTTGGTTCAACTCACAACTCAACGGCACAAGTGCTTTTCCTCGGAGTGACAGCCAATATTCCAGTGTGCAGTGAAAGTACTTTTTGCCTACTTCCCACACTGTTACATAGAGTATTTTAAAATTTCTTTAAAGAATAGTAAGTTGTGGGGCACCTGGGTGGTGCAGTTGGTTAAGCATCTGACTCTTGGTTTCGGCTCAGGTCATGAGATTGAGCCCTGTGTTGGGCTCCACACTCAGCTTGGAATCTGCTTGAGAACCTCTCCCTCTGCCCCTCCCACTTGTGCATGCATGCCTGTGCACGCTGGCTCTCTCTCTCAAATAAATAAGTCTGTTTTTTTTTTTTAAGATTTTATTTATTTATTTGAGAGAGAGAGAATGAGAAATAGAGAGCACGAGAGGGAAGAGGGTCAGAGGGAGAAGCAGACTCCCCGCTGAGCAGGGAGCCCGATGTGGGACTCAATCCCGGGACTCCAGGATCATGACCTGAGCTGAAGGCAGTCGCTTAACCAACTGAGCCACCCAGGCGCCCAATAAATAAATAAGTCTTAAAAAAGAATATTGAGTTGTTTTGGCAGACTGTTAATTTACTTGCAAATCAGCTGATCCCTCAGAGACTGGAATGGGTCTAGAATAGCTTTTACTTTGGTCTAGTTTAGTTCTGTTTCTAAAGCATGCCCTTTCTGGGATTTTCTGCTGAATGCAGCAGATGTTTATTGAGTTTTCTGTCTTCTGGCTGATTAGAACTCATCTGTATTCCAGCCTGTGTGAGCTCCACTAATTTTTCAGTTTATAGCTCTCTAATATTTACTCTTTGCCGGGCCTTGTAGAATCTCATTCTGTGTATGCACAACTTAGAACTCAGCCAGAGACTCAAAGGAATTCCTGTGTAGGTTATTGAAGGTCTTTCTCTGTGTAGCTCCCTCATTTCTGGTACTCTGCATCCATGAAATCCAGCTAACTCATCTCTCTGAACTCTGATCTGTGCTCAGTAGGTCTACCACGTTCTTCTTGGGTTCCCTCGTCCATGCTGTGGTCTAAAAGTGCCTCTGTGCCAAAAGCCAGGATGATCATAGGGTTCTGATCATTTCAGTGATCACAGTCTTTCTCTACCTGTTGTCCTGTATTTGAAAACAGTTTATATATTTTTGTCCAGTTTTTTAGTTGGTGGTTGGAAGAGCTAGTCTGGTACCATTTATTTCATATTTTTTAAAAAGATTTTATTTATTTGACGAGAGCCAGCGAGAGGGAATATAAGCAGGGGGAGTGGGAGAGGGAGAAGCAGGCCTCCCACTGAGCAGGGAGCCTGATGCGGGGCTTGATCCCAGGACCCAGGAATCATGACCTGAGCCAAAGGCAGACGCTTGACGACTGAGCCACCCAGGCACCCCTGTACCATTTATTTCAGCATGGGCAAAATTAGAGGCCAGAGAACCAGTCTTCACTGCTGTTAGTTTTTCTGATGATTACCTTTATTTATTTATTTTTTTAAGATTTATTTTATTTATTTGAGAGAGAGAAAGAGCACATGCACAAGAGTGGGGAGGAGGGGCAGAGGGAGAGGGAAACCTAAGCAGACTCTGTGCTGACTGAGGAGCCCGACGAGGGGCCTGATCCCAAGACCCCGAGATCATGACCCAAGCCCCAAGCCGAAACCAAGAGCCTGATGCTTAACTGGCTGCGCTATCCAGGCACCCCCTGATGGTTACCTTTAAATGATGGCTTTTTAAACACAAACTAAAAGCCTGGTTGATATTCTGGTGTTTTTTTATTTTTTTTTTTTAGATATTATTTGGGGGGTAGGGGCAGAGAGAGAAGGAAAAGGGGAGAGAATCTTAGTCTGGAGCCTGATGTAGGGTTCCATCTCACGACCTGAGATCACGACCTGAGCGAAAGTCAAGAGTCAGATGCTTAACTAACTGAGCCACCCGGGCGCCCCTTATTTTAGATATTATTTTCATAATTGCTAATAGAGTCAAGAGATTTAAAATTCAAAAGGTGTGAAAAGAAGATTCAGTATGAGGTCTGCCTCCCACATGTGGCCCCCACTCCTCAGTTCTCTCACAAGAGACAACCAGTATTATATAAACATCTTTTTTTTTTAAGATTTTATTTATTTATTTGACAGAGAGAGACACAGCAAAAGAGGGAACACAAGCAGAGGGAGTGGGAGAGGGAGAAGCAGGCTTCCCGCAGAGCAGGGAGCGTGATGCGGGGCCCGATCCCAGGACCCTGGGATCATGACCTGAGCCGAAGGCAGACACTCAACGACTGAGCCACTCAGGCGCCCCTATAAACATCTTTTTAAGGCTGCATAATACTCTAAGGATTTACCATACTTATCTAATTCTCTATTAATGGGCACTATAGTCAAATTAATGCGCTGTTCTGAATAATGAGTACATATGTGATGCCTTTATTTTGGATGTAGTAGTATATCCTTGTTGGTAAGCATGTATCCCACTTATTTTATGATTTGTCTGTAGTGATAAAACTTAAACTGGATTTTCAAATGATAAGCTCCAAAAAGCCTCTTTAATAATGTTATCTGTAGTTTATTCCAAATACCAAACTGTAAAAATATGTCAGATTTTGGTCATGATTTGAATGTATATCTCATTCTGTTTTTAATCTTTCAGGTCATAATGCAACAGGGAGATACATCCATAAAACCCATCCTCCAAGTCATTGTGAGTACCTTTGAATATTTTATGTCACACATTTTAAAAACTTTTATGTAATTACAAATTACATTTGATGAAGCACACACAGATTCGTCCACTTTAGGAAATTCTCTTCATCATCCCAAAAAATAGGCCAGTCTTGTTGTAACCCTAAGAGAGGAAACAGGCCTTTTTTTTTCCCCCAGTATTATGCTAGCCAAAGGCTTTGCCTTCTGTTCTTTCCACAGTTGATGGATACTGTAGTGCTACCCATCATTACCACTGCCTCCTTTTCTTCCTGCCCTAAGGTTTGTCTTGCTCAAATCTGCCTTATGTGGGCCTGCAATGAACATATCTGCTTAAAACTCATCATTAACCCTATCATTCATTTAAAGGGTTCTCAAATTTTAGTGGGAATTTAAAAAATGCATAGAAGCAGCATCCTGGCTCATACCTGCAGATTCTGAGTCATAGGCTTAATGATCTCCCTGAGTTACTCCCAAACTCACTGCCATTCATCTTAAAGCTCTGTTTATGTACTTTACTTCCTTTGGAGAACTGCTTCTGATTTCCTTCAGGTTGTGATAAACGTCTTAGCTGTGTCCCCATGTCATGTGCATAACTCTCTATGTCTCTTTGCCTCTGTCTCCACCTCATTTGTGAGCCCCTCCAGGGCAAGGATATTTTTTTTCCATTTTGTATTTTTAGCATGTTTTCTGTGTAGCTCCTTATATATATCAGGTGCCTTGTATCTTTTTTAAAATTAATTTTCAATCAAATTTGAGTTGAGAGAGAACAGAAGAGAATTGAAACTCATTTTATTCTCAACTATGTTGTGTTTAATAATGTTAATACAGAGACGGTGGTGGGAAAATCATCAAATCCAATTTTCTTTTGCTTGGATTAAGGTGTCAAGAGAATGGGCAAGCAGTTCAGTGTTTGTTGAACTAATGGCAAACCCACTCTCCTGCCACTTAAGTTTACTTATCCCTGGGACTGGGAAGACAACCCAACTAATGAATCAAGTTTTCTATCCTAGAACATCCGTCCCATTATTACAGGGAGTAGTCCACCCCGTTATCGACTGCTTATGAGTGATGGATTGAACACTCTATCCTGTAAGTATGGTGTATAAATCTAGGAATTTGCATTTAAATAATAACACCCAGCACTTCGATTGCGATAATTTGGGGCATTTCAGAAATGTACATTTGCTTGGCCATGCACTTCATTCACACAGAATTACGGCTGGCAGAGAGCATTCTTTTTTTTTTTTTTTTAATGATTTTATTTATTTATTTATTTGACAGAGACAGAGACAGCGAGAGCAGGAACACAAGCTGGGAGTGGGAGAGGGAGAGCAGGCTTCCCACTGAGCACGGAGCCCGATGTGGGACTCGATCCCAGGACTCTGGAATCATGACCTGACCCGAAGGCAGCCGCTTAACGACTGAGCCACCCAGGCCCCGGCAGAGAGCATTCTAACAATAGACTAGATCTAGTGGAAAGCAGCCACTTGGCTTAATTAATTTTCTCTAACTGGTGCTCTGTTTTCTTTGATTAATTTCCCTCAGGATGGTATTGACATTTAGTGAATATAATGGGTTAGTTGTCTATACTTGCCTTTTTGGGGATTTATTTCTGTGTTGGAAACTTTACAAGGGAGAAAGAATTTGCAGAATATTGCTTGCTATCTCTAGTCACAAGGTGAAGAACATGGAAAAGACTTTTTAGTCTTTGTCATGAAACCTGAATGATGGAAAAAATTATTTTGGGCACTTTAAGAAATACATTTCAAAGTACCAGCAGATGTTTAACACGGTAAATTATATTGTTTTTCACTATGCAGAATCTGAGTTGTTTTAATTTCAGAAACATATTCAAGGCATTGTTTTCCTTTGCTAGTCCAGGTGTGATCAGCTTTCAGATTGTCATGACTGAAGTGTTGTGGGAACTAAAGTAATCTCTGTGCTTTTCAGCTTTCATGTTGGCAACACAGTTGAACCCTCTGGTTGAGAAAGAACAATTGTCTAGCAATTGTATTTGCCAGATTAACCGATTCATTGTTAACACTCTGAAAGATGGAAGGTATGTGGTATTTTTCTTTGTTTTGGGGGGTTTTCTTTGGTTTTATTGTGTTGTAGAATGGGGACTAATTTTTCTACAGAGAAATCCATTGGATGCCAAAATTCATTTAAGAATCAAAGACAATGAGGAGCTTTCAGCTAAGAGTTTACAGCTATTGAGATTTGAACTCGGGTGACTAAAACATGGCACCAAAGGAAGAGAAATAATGGAAACAGATTGGAAATTTCAAAGCAGGAGATTAAAGCAGAATGCAGAACTTTTATTTCTGATTTCTTCAGAAGCACTGTTTTTAAGATTCTCTTTTGAAGTATGTGTTAATGAAAAGGGGTTACTTATAAGAGCAAAAATGATGTAATTAATTATGTGATGCTGCCCCTTTTTTGCAATCTTGAATGTTTCGTGGTAAACTTTATTCAGCCAATATAGAGTATGCTGAGTACTGACAGATGCTACACGCTCAAGGTGCAGTGGTGAGCAGCACTGTTATTCCTGGGTAACTGTTGCTAAAATAGGACATTTTTTGTTGGGGAGAGCCTTTTAAGCTTTTTATTTCCAATCACAGAATACATGGGAAACAAATGTAATAAGCATTCCCCTCTTAATAAGGGTATGTCAATGTATGTTACAGTATTATCTGTACGTTTTGCTTTGTATTTGTTTGCTGTATCATTGTCCTTTTAACTTTCAGTTTCTCTGTTCTTAACCTTGGATGTCTTTTATAAACAGCATATGATTTTAGAAATCAGTTTGAGATTTAGTTGGTGAGTTTATTCTGCTTAATTTATTATTGATTTTTTTTCTAATTTTTGTGTTTTTACCATGTTTTTGCTTTATTTTTTCTTGCCTTGGATTGATTTTTTTCCTTAAATTTTTTTCCTCTACTGGTTTGAAATATATTTGTGCTGTGTTTTTGTTTGTTTTGTTTTGTTTTGCGGATATTCTTACATTTTAAAAAATCCGTATGTGAATTAACAGATATTCTAAAATAGGTCTGTATTTTTACAATCCTCTCAAATAAAGCAAAGCTCTCAAAATGGTCAATGTTCAGTGTTTTAGCTCAACTTTGTTTTTATTTCCTTGGATTAGTGTATTCTCTATATAGACAGCAATTACTTAGACTTACCCACAGAGTCTCCCTTTGTCTCCTTCATCACACTCCTTTCTTTTTAGTTCAGTTCTCATTTTCCTGAAGAATATCTTTTAGCAGCTCTTTTTCTTTTTTAAGATTTTATTTATTTATTTGACAGAGAGAGACACAGTGAGAGAGGGAACACAAGCAGGGGGAGTGGGAGAGGGAGAGGCAGGCTTCCCAGCTGAGCAGGGAGCCCGATGCAGGGCTCGATCCCAGCACCCTGGGATCACAACCTGAGCCGAAGGCAGACGCTTAACCAGCCGAGCCACCCAGGCGCCCCTTTTTTAGCAACTCTTATAGGGGAGGATTGTGAATGATAAAAATCTGTCATCTAAAAATGTCTGTTTCATTCTCAGTTAAATGAGTTTAACTAGGTGTAGAATTCTAGGTTGACAGTTCTCTATATCATGTAGTAGGATCTTTGCCCTGACAGAATTTTGTGTTCTTGTCATTGTGTTTTGTAAAACAACTTTTATTATACAAGTAATATATACATAAATTATAAAAACTCAAATGAATAAGGGCTGGCTTAGTCAGTAGAGTATGCAACTTGGGGTTGTGAGTTCTAGCCCCACATTGGGTGTGGAGCTTACTTAAAAAAAAAATAAAAAACAACAACAACAAAGCTCACATACTCGAAAATAACTGTAATTTGACTGCGTACAAATCACTATTCTTAAAAATTTTGTTGCTATCCTTCCAGAATTTTTCTATAAATGTAAGTACTTACAAATTTGTATTTTCCTTTAAAAAATTCATAATATGGTTTTATAATACTCTCTTTTTTAATAGTGGTCATTTTTACATGTCTCTAGATAAACCTCTATGTCATATATATATATAAAATTTGGGGGGGGTGCGGCAGGCAGAGTAGGCAGAGGAAGAAGCAGGCTCCCTGCTGAGCAAGGAGCCCGATACAGGACTCGATCCCGGAACCCTGGGATTATGACCTGAGCCAAAGGCAGATGCTTGACCGACTGAGCCACCCAGGCGTCCCCTCTCTATGTCATATATTACTTAGTATGTCATTGTATAGATTTACCATAATATAGTTAACATTTAATATTATATAGCATTTCACTTTTTAAAATTTTTCACCAGTGCTTCTTAGAATATATTTGTACCTCTTTGTGTATTCAAATTTTTAGGGAATATGAGTATTTTAATAAAAATGACACACAGAATCATCGATTCAAGCAGTGCAATAAAAGGTACAAAGAAGGAAAAAATTGTCTAAAATTCATACAACTCAGAAATAACCATACTATGATTTAGTGAGCATCATTCCAGATATCTCACAGTGCGTATTTATCAATAATTGGTGGATAGAAATAATTTTGATAGTGGAATGACAATATATATATTGTTACTGCTGTCTTCCTTCCTGAGTAATTCAGTCCACAGCCATTAGGTGGGGCCGAGCAAGATAGATGTTTGCAAGGGAGGGATGGTGGTGGTGGTGGTGGTGATGGCCCGGAACCAGGTGTTAGCCCAAAGTGAGGAAGGTCGTGGGCTGGACAGGGTGTTGGAGACCAGGTAAGGAGAACACATGGGGAGAGGGTGGCTGCGGTCCAGAATGGGTTGTCAGAGCCTGAGTAGGGTGAGGCAAGAGTCTGTATGGCTGTTGGATCCTGAGCAAGGGATGAAGGAATCTGGGGGTGTTGTGGGGATCCGGCACAGGAACAGGTTGTTGGGGGAGAGGAGGGTGCTTGTTTGTAATAGGGTGGTAGTGGTCTTAGAACTGGGTTTGGAATTTGAGCATTTGGAGGAGAGTGTCCATGTGTGTAGCAGTGGCAGGTGGTGACAGGAGATTGATTACGTATGAGGGGAATTGATCTAATAAATATGTTGAAAGCTCTGGGAGATAGCCAAGGGAGAAGTCTGTGATTCTGGATTATAATTGAAGGTTTCAGAGTGAACTCAAGGTTTTTGATAGATAAATATAGATGTAAACTTAGTTTGGGGTTTTAAAATTATATTTTATTGGAGTGCCCAGGTGGCTCAGTCGGTTGGTTGAGTGACTCTTGATCTCAGCGCAGGTCTTGATCTCTTGATGTCAGCGTTGTGAGTTTGAGCCCTATGTTGGGCTCCATGCTGGGTGTGGAGTCTACTAAGTAATCAATCAATCAATCAATAGTTCTTTTTTACCTTGTTTTATTATATCTTATTTTAACTCAACTTATTTAAGCTAAATACAAAAATAGTTCTCCCATTTCTCGCACCTCTTACTCCTTTGCCTTTAACAACCACCAGTGTATTTGTTCTCTGTATCTATGAGCTTGTTATTTATTTCCACATATAAGAGAGATCATAGGGTAATTGCCGTTCTCTGTCTGACTTAGCATGATGCCCTAGAAGTCCATCCATATTTTCACAAATGGCAAGACTCCATTCTTTTTTATGGCTGAATAATATTGTGTGTGTGAGAATTTCTTTTTTTAAAAAATTTTATTTATTTATTAGAGAGAGAGCGTGCCATGAGCAGGCAGGAGGGGCAGAGGGAGAGGGACTTGATCCCAGGACCCAGGATCATGACCTGAGCCGAAGGCAGACGCTTAACCAACTGAGCTACCCAGGTGGCTCTGTGTCACAATTTCTCTATCCATTTATCTGTTGGTGGACATTTAAGTTGTTTCCATATGTTGACTCTTGTAAATAGTGCTACAATGAACATGGGGGTGCATAGATCTTTTCGAGTTAGTACTTTTGTTTTCTTCGGATGAATACCCAGAAGTGGAATTGCTGGATCTTATGGTAGTTTGATTTTTAATTTTTTGAGGAATCTGCATACTGTTTTCCATAGTGGCCACACCAATTCACATTTCTACCAACAGTGCACAAGGGTTCCTTTTTCTCCATATCCTTGCCAACGCGTGTTATTTCTAGTCTTTTGAAGAATAACCATTCTAACAGATGTGAAGTGATATCTCGTTGTGGTTTTGATTTGCATTTCCCTGATTAATGATGTAAAGTATCTTTTCATGCACCTGTTAGATAGCTTTATGTCTTCTTTGGAAAAAATGTCTGTTCAGATCTGGTTGGTGTATGAGTATACATACATTGTGGGGTGTGTGTGTGTGTGTGTGTGTGTGTGTGTGTGTGTGTGTGTTCCCTAGATCTCTCTACTGAGGGTGCTTTGGAGCAGCAACACCCCAATAGCTCTGAGCCCCCTTAGCACCAGATCTTGGTTTCTGAATGCCATTTCACACTCAAAAGAACTAGGGCTTCTTAGAGGATGGCTTGTTACAGGCTTGGAAATTACAAGATGAGCTTGGAATATCTTATTGTGTCAGATGGTAAGGAAGTGCTCAAAGGGAGATGGGATCCTGTCAAAAGGACAGAAAAACTGGCTTGCAGAATCTTACACTTGTCAAATCTAAGGCAATTTATAAACCATAATAAAAATGGGAACAGGTTATAACCTGTTAAATACAATAGGAGTTCATAAGTCCATACTGAATAAATGAATACATGGTGTTTTTCTTAAAATAGAGTGCCATCTAACAAATGCGGAAGGAATGACGGAATTAGAAAATCGCCCTTTGGTAACCAGCACAGGGTTAGTTTATCCAGGAAACATCAGTGGGGGCTGTGGCTGCTCTAACAAATTAACACAAACTTGGTGGTTTGTGGTGGTGGTGGTGGTTTTAAAGATTTTATTTATTTGGGGGCGCCTGGGTGGCTCAGTCGGTCAAGCGTCTGCCTTCAGCTCAGGTCATGATCTCAGGGTCCTGGAATCGAGTCCTGTATCGGGCTCCCTGCTCAGTGGGGAGTCTGCTTCTCCCTCTCCCCCTGCTCATGAGCTCTCTCTCTCTCTCACTCACTCTCACTCACTCACTCTTTCTCTCAAATAAATAAAATCTTAAAA